AATTACTCTATGTCATTTTGGCTCATTTGCTGTTCCCTTCCTGGGCCTTGGGACACTCTCACTGTATTTGTGCAAGTTTGCACCCAAACTTTCTCCTGCAGTTTATGTCCTCCAGGAAGCAACCCACGAGAGCAGACAGCGTAGTTCACCCTTGGATCCAGTCCAACCAGACTGACTCCCGTTACCCAGAACAATCCTTCAAGACACGTCTTGTGCCCTTGCTTGCCCTCACGTGTCCCTGTGCCATGCTGAGGGACACACAACTCACCTCGTTGTCATCATGCTTTAAAACCCTACACTGGTGATCTATGGCACAATCCTCTCAATATTTAGGGCACTCTGAACTGGCAAAAGAATGAAAAATAATTACTATATTTTGTATGTCTTATGGTCAGGGTGCAAAGAAGATACAGGCTCAAAACTATAAATTCCGCATGTGGCAGCCCCCACGTTCAGGGGGTCCCAGCCCTGAGCAGAGCATACGTGCGTCAGTCCACACCAGTTGCTCTTGGTTCGCTTCTTGGGTTGTGGTCACAAACGTTATATGCACAGGCCTGAGACTTGTTTTCCAAGGGTCTTCATAGCATGGCACAGTGGGAGAGGAGCAGCCATAAAACCAGCCTCAGGATAAAGTGAACTTGGCTTTTCTCAGTGACTTTTATTGCCAATCCCTAATAAATGCTTGGAAAGTGAAATCTCACCTACAACTAGAATCTCCTCTTTTGTGTGTTCTTCAGTTCCTGTCTACACATCACAAACAATAGACATGGTTGTGTGGACAACTGAGAAGTTGCTGTGTGGCTTACAGAGCCCGTGCAGACATTCCTTCCTCTTCCCTGTGCATGCATATAATTGATACCAATGTATCAATGCTGTAAACTGAATGTGTTGGGAGAAACCAGCTGGCTAAGCAAGCTTGACTTTGGAATATGGCAGACCTGCTGTGAAGTTTTTTTGATTACATGTTGTTTCATTTTGTTATCCTTGTTATGTTTTTCCTATTAAAAAATATTTTGAAAAACAGCAGTAAAATTCTGATATCTAACTATTTAATCCTAAGAGTGTAAATGTGTTGAATACGAAACAGTTCAGGAAAGCAGTGACAAAAAGTTTACTTTTTTTTTTTTTTTTAAGATGAAATACATTGCTGGATATTCTGTGATCACTTAACACTGCATCACACAACTATATAGAATTCAAACCTGATCGTTATTCTGAAATGCCAGGATTCTGTCTCCTTCCAACTCTGAAGTACTGAAGTAGTCTTTCTGTCCTCCCACAGAAGTAAAGGTTGTGCAGGGTTAAACCTATGATTTCTATATAATTACTAGTATTTTGTATCAATAGAGAAATTCCTTACTTATCATCAGTGCATCTTGGAATCGATATTACTTGGTGATGATATGTACTGCTGACATTTCTTCCTCTACTGTTCCTTTTACTGTTCAAGACCGTTATTATATCAGTTCTTTGGCTTATCACTGCAAGGCTTGCTTAGAGATCGTGTGGTACTAGAGATAGCATCCAACTGTTGCAATGGCTGACAGTTGTCCAGAGGATTACAACTGTGATCATATCAAGTTTGGGGGTGATCCTGACCTGTTATATGTTCTTTTGCATAATTGTTTCTGGAGGCAAAAGGGCAAGAATGGTGCAGAATTAGAGCAATGCATTTGATAGAGACTTGTCATTTGAAAAACAGTTTGCATTGCCTGTCATCTTTTGTTTGGTAGAAAACAGGCTGTGACATAATACCTGTCACTGCCAGCGGGTGTTTCTCTGCACCCTGGAGTGAAAAATCCCATGCAGTAGCAGCCTAGGTCTAGGTTACCTATGTAAGTGAGCAGGACCCTGCTGTTCTCGAGGCCTGTGCTTGCATGCAAGGACCCACCTGCCCCAGGTGGGGAGGAAAGGAGAAGCATCGGGTCTTTAAAAAGAAAAAGAAAAATTTAAAAAAATCTCATGTCAGCCTTCTTGCTGGGAGAGAAGATCGAGAAGTGTCTTTTGAGGTTTCTCTTGGGCCAGAAAAACTCCCTGAGGAGGAGATAAGGGTAAATGCAAAACACGCCGCTTGCACCTCTCGGGTTGTTAGTGTGTGGATAGTCTGAAAGCTGCTGGCAGTGCCTGGAAGTTTAGAATTGGATATTTATACTGGACAGTATCATTAATTGTTATACAGCGAAAAAAGGGCAAGTAGGGAGAGAAATTACATACTTCTCTGATACCTGGAAATATTTTATTAATTTAATTTCCGAATAGTCCCTGGCATTATGACATCCAGGATAAATTTGTGCTTTAGAACTGATTCTGCATGATAGAATCAAGGTACTGACTATTTTCTTTAAGAATGTGGAGTGTGTTTTAGGAAATTATTGATGATGGTGGTAATGATGGTAATGATTAAATGATTTGACAAATTCAGTGGTATCGTAACCAGTGAGAAGCGTGTCCTTCCATTAATACACTTCCGTGATTGCTTTTCGCTTTGCTATCTGTGTTG